CTAGTTCTGTCACAAGCAGTTGTCTTTTTGAACAAAGATTATACCTACGAGTTTTTGTAAATAGCATTTATATTTCTTTTTGCATGTTTCTTGTCAGTAGAAATATGTTGAATCTAAAATATTTACTGCTTATTTGACTAACTCCTTTTCTTTTTAATTCAGCAATTTCTTATCAATTGTGCATTTTTTCTCTCTTAAAATTTCATTGTAAGAAATAATCTGTCATGAGTTTCTTGCTGCGTAGACTTAAAAATGTTACCATTCTGGAACCTCTGACACTGACAGAATCTTGATTTTAGAACTCAGTTACAAAGTGTCTCTTTTCTGATAATTGAGTCTATCTAGCAAATCACTGGTCTCATTTTTTTTACTGTATTTTGTTTGTAATCTAACAATTCCCAGTGAAATTTTTCTGCACAGATTTTAGCCTTCAAATTCCCAAAGGACATTCTCAATGGCATCACAAATTTGTTGGGTACACCATAGACTGACAGACAACTCTTTGAGAATAAATACTTAAAAACGAAAATGTTAACCTTCTGTTATTGCACTGTGTTTTAGAAAGAAGTGATGTCTGATGTGTAAGTAGTGTGGGATTGCTACTAAGGTAAATGTATTTGCATAAAGAATAAAAGAAAGGAAGAAATGGAGAGCTCTTTAATGGGCCATCTGATGTCTTGAAATGCAAAGATAAATAATTACTGCAGAAATACATTAACATAATAAGTCAGAAACTGGTAACAATGGTAGCATTTTACCTGTTCTCAATAATATAGCTGTGGTTCCTCAGAACATTTGCAATTATTTTACTGGGGATACATGGTGTTAAAATATTATTGATTTGGGGAATATAAATAATTAGTCCCAAATTTAGATATAATATTTTTACTAAAGCGAATGAGGTTAATGAATTATAGTCAGTACAGAAATGTTGTGCTGGTGCTGCAGAGAAAGCCTTCAACAATTTCATGATTTTTTATAATGCTAAATCTGACCTGGTTCCTTGGCCCAAAGCTGGCAAGAACCAGTGCTTTTAGAGATAATTCTAGCAGGCACGACCTTGTCCTTTCACAACTGACTGAAGTGAAACTTCCATAAATTTTTATTTCATAATCTCTTAGATTTAAGCAGTTATTATTACTCTGGAGATTTATGCCAAAGGTAGAAACAGGGATATTCTGTATTGTACACTTATTTCTTATACACTAACACATTTCTCAACAACTACGGTTTTCCTGGTTTAGTTCTGCTTTAATCAGACTTGAATATGGTGTTTCTTAATGTCATTCTTAGCTTATTACATTTTCAGATGAACACAATGAGATATGAAAAAAATCTCAGGATAAAGAATACTGGATGCTCTGAAATTGGTATTTCTGTGAGTGAATGAATTACAAACTGAATAGCACATCATGTTATTATTTTGGAAAGTTTATAAAACATCTTTGCTAATAGATTTAATAGGAAATTTCATTCAAGTATAAATGTAAATAATTTTTATTAAGATCAGCTCTACACAAAATATCTAAGTAAGGTAAAATGTTTATATATAATTTTAAATTGTTATAGTCCATTTGAAGAATATTGTTTAAGAACAATAATGTTGAAAGAGAAATTGAGGGCCAGGGAGATGTCTAAGTGCTTGCCTGGCAAGTGCAAGGACCTGAGCTTAAACCTTGGTTCTGAAAAAGAAGAAAAAAAGAAGAAAGAAGAAAGAAGAAAAAAGAAAGAAAGAAAGAAAGAAAGAAAGAAGAAAGAAAGAAAGAAAGAAAGAAAGAAAGAAAGAAAGAAAGAAAGAAAGGAAGGAAGAAAGAAAGATTGAATATTCTCAAAATATTTGAAGTAGAATAATTTCACTTACTATTCTTTATCCTGGTTTGAAAAAAAAGAAAGAACAATAATGAGACTTTCCAGTATCCAGGAAAATGTAAGGAAAGGGACTAGTAAAAGAGAAAAGAATATTGAAGAGAAAAGGATAATCAAAAAAATTGCCTACTTAAAGATATGGATGCCTAAAAACAGGCGCAGGGGATAGGGGTTTGATCTCCAGGTGTCTTGTGCTGGTCCCACCCCCAGGGCACACTAAGATGTCATTGAGACTGGACATGGTGGCCTTAACCTTTAATCCCAGCTCTTGGGAGGATAAAAACAGGTGGATCACTACAAGTCTGACCTAGTAGTGAGACCCTGAACACCCTGTAGACCCTTCCCTAAAATACAAAATAATAATAATATAAAAATATATGGAAAATCAAAAGAAGATAAGGAGAAAGAATACAAGTAAAAATACAGAGAAGAGATACAAGGGGTGTAATATGGAAAAACTATGCAAAAGAAAAGAGAAAGGAAAGGGTAGAAAAATATAGGCCAACTCAAATATAAAAGTGTAACTTAAGAAAAAGTATAGAAATGAAATGGTTACTGAGAAGGGAGTCAAAAATAGTAAAAGAAATACCTGTACTTTAAAAGAAGGCACAAGGAAATAAAAAGAAATGTGGGAAAATGAATGGCTGTGAATAGGGACTGAAACTTCAAGTACCTAGTCCATGAATTTCCAAGCACACCCTGCCTCTAAGCATGAAGAGCACATAATGCCTCCTATATGGCCTTTAGGTGGAATGTGGGCCAGCACCAGAATTTATTACTCTATGCCTGCTCTTACACTAACAGCACTGGATGGATTTTGTCAGCTGAAATGCAAATAGGATGTGGAGGTAATGCAAGTATTCTAACTTCAAAGTTTCTATTTCAATTTCTACTGATAGTAGTACTTCTTTTAACATAGTTAGAATAGGAATTTGTGTTTCTGGAAATTTCTGTGCCTTTATTTTTTAAGTACTTAAGTACTTCATGTTCTTTGAGAAATATACATCCTGTGAACATGTATGTGTGAGTGTGATATAAGCATCCTAGGGGCCACAAAGAAGCAATAAGGGAAATACAAAAAGGAAGACAGTGCATCAAAAATAATAGATTTGAATGAGTGTCACATAAAGAATCAAATGCACAACAGAAATGGAAGAAAGGACATGAAACACAAAACACACAAAGGATGAGCCCACAATATGTTCACACTTACAGTTTTATTATATGACTGATATGCATCTCTAGTTATCTGCAGATGTGAAAAATAACCAACTGCATAATAATGTGAATGATTTACACAACTTAAGAGTAAGCAAAGAGGGCTGGGGAGATAGCTCAGAAGAATAAGTGCTTCCCTGGCAAGCATAAGGTCCTGAGTTCAATCCCCAGTACCAAAAATAAATGAATAAATAAATAAATAAATAAATAAGACATGACTTTTGGGGCCAGGGAGATGGCTCAGTAGAATAAGAAAGCACTTGCCTGGCAAGTGCAAGGGCCTGAGTTCAATCCCTGCTTCTGGAAAAAAAATTTAAGTAGGGAGACTTAACTTACTTTTCTAATAGATTGGATACATAACAGTAATAAATATTAAGGACCACAAATTCTTAGGTGCAACAGATAAAGATAAAAGACAAAGAAAGGAAGAAAGGAGTAAACAAGCCCAATTTCAATGATGTAACATGTAGATTTTTGTACATTACTTTTGTTCAGGGTACACAGTGTCCTCTTGTATGTGTATGCATATGTGCCCATGTGCTCAGGTATGTATTTTATATGTACATACAGGTACATATGTACTATGAAATATGCTTATTTTGTAATTTTAAATTTTAAACATACAAGGAAATCAGTGTCATCATTTAATCTATTAGGCTTAAATGTACAAAGGCAAATATTTCGATATCTCAAGTAGAAATAATATTATAAATACTTCCTTTGTTTTCTTAATTTGTTACTTTGTTGATTGTTTTTCCTTATTTCCTACTCTTTTGCTTTCTGTTTCTGTTTGGTCAAAGTTAAAGAAACTATTTCTTGCTATGCTATACTCATTATTCAACAATAGTTGTCCCATGTAATTCAAAATATGTGAAATATTATTCTTTATGGAAGTTTGTAGTATTTTTCTTTAGTTCAAAAGGCTTAAGTTTTTCAAACTTTTCAACCATAAATCCTTTTGCATGTGTACCAGCAACATATATATTTTATTTGTATAATATTTCATATTCAATTTTATAGTTATTTTTATAAACTACAAAACTCAAAAACAGAGAATATGATAATATTCTTCTTTCCAAGAAGATAATATAATAATAAATGATACTTGTGAAAATTCTACTTTATTGTTTTCATATGCATAACTTATCATGTTTATCTCCTGTGGTTGATAAATTCCCAACTTTAAAATCACTATAGAGATAAGCATAGAAATAAGATTTTCTTTCATTCAGAATGACTAAAAGTATTTTTTCAACTAGGTAGATGATCCAATGGTCTATAGAGAAAAAAATACATTTCCAGAAAATATAGTTTTTAATTTTGGTCTTTTAGGTTTACACTCCTGAGACATAATTTACATGTAATAAATATATATCAGTTGATATGCAGTTTAATGATCTTGGTAAATAAATGAGCATTTTTTCTGTATCTTAAGAAAGGGTATACAAGATGTTCAGGGTCTCATTATTAGATCAGACTCAGTGATTTTCCTGTTTACAGCCTCCCAAGTGCTGGGATTACAGGCAATTGTCACTACACCCCATCTCATTGTTCTTTGCTGTCAATCTTCAACCCATCTGAAGAGTTCCATATCTAGGGGAAAGATTTTTGTCAATTAGAACACATTTGCACATTCATGTTAGTCAGGAGTAGATCCAGAGCAAACACATCCTAGTCTATGTGAGACAATAGTTGAATGAAATACATGATCCCAGCAGAAGACAGAGTGTGGCTTTCAGACAAAGTTTTTCACAGTTGTGAAATGCACAAACATAACAAATAGATATCTTACATTATGGGGAGAGATGATGCAATAAAGATGTGGTATATTTGCCTTTAGCTAAAGACAATCTATGATCTTCATGTAAGAGATGGAAAGCAACTCTCTGATCTCTGGTATGCTGTAGGGACAGGAGATGCAGATAGAAAACAGCACAGTGGTGACAGAATTCATCCTCCTTGGTCTGACTCAGTCTCAAGAAATTCAGCTCTTGGTCTTCGTATTAATCTCAGTTTTCTACCTCATCATCCTCCCAGGAAATTTCTTCATCATCCTCACCATAAGGTCAGATCCTGGGCTCTCAGCTCCCCTTTATTTCTTCCTGGGCAACTTGGCTTTCCTGGATGCATCCTACTCCTTCATTGTGGCTCCCAGAATGTTGGTGGACTTTCTGTCTGAGAAGAAGGTCATCTCCTACAGAGGTTGCATCACCCAGTTGTTTTTCTTGCACTTGCTTGGAGGAGGGGAGGGCTTACTTCTTGTTGTGATGGCCTTTGACCGCTACATTGCCATCTGCCGGCCTTTACACTATTCGACTCTCATGAGCCCTAAAGTCTGCTATGTAATGGTGCTAGCTCTGTGGCTTGGAGGCTTTGTCCACTCCATCATTCAGGTGGCCCTCATACTGCGTTTGCCTTTCTGTGGCCCAAACCAGCTGGACAACTTCTTCTGTGATGTCCCACAGGTCATCAAGCTGGCGTGCACAGATACATTTGTGGTAGAGCTCCTGATGGTCTTCAACAGTGGTCTAATGACTCTCCTGTGCTTCTTGGGGCTTCTGGCCTCTTATGTTGTCATTCTTTGCCGTGTAAGTGTGTCTTCTTCTGAGGGAAAGAACAAGGCCATCTCCACGTGCACCACTCACATTATTATTATACTTCTTATGTTTGGACCTGCAATTTTCATCTACACTCGCCCATTCAGGGCCTTAGCAGCTGATAAGGTAGTTTCTTTCTTCCATACAGTCATCTTTCCACTGATGAATCCTGTGATTTATACCCTTCGAAACAAGGAAGTAAAAAGTTCCATGAAAAAGTTATTAATTCGGTATGTAGCTTGTTAACAAATTTTATAATGAAAAGGTAGGACAAGTGAGTTCTGGCTGACATTCATTTATTTATTTAAAAAATGTTGTTTCTTGAGTATTTCTCACTTTTCAAATACTATTGTAGACAATGAGGGGACAAATGTTCAAATAGGGAAATAATCTTGTTATATTTTAAAAACAGAAGTAATCCCAGAGTAGTTGAAGTACAGTGAATAACTGTCTGAATCTTAGAAGTGATATTTTATGCAACTGTGAGGGTCAGATCTCTAATGTCCTTTTGTTAAGATAAAGAATTTCATTATATTTTAATTTAGTAAAACTACACTTTAAAATTTTACAAAGATGGTAACATCTATATTTTTTTCTGAGTTAGAGACACATAAAGACTAATAAACTATAGTTAATGGACTGACCTAGTGTAAAACACTAAGAATGCGTGACACAAGGAGCTACTTTAAGTCTCTGGCTCCACACAGCAGTTAGCCTAAAACTTTGGCTATTACTCTCAGCTCTATTCTTGTCTGTTCATCCCCAGGCAGGATAGACAAATTCCTTTATTTCTTTTGTATATTTTTCTTGTGCTCAATTCTACCACTCTACATCAACTCTTCTTATCATTCAGTATGGCAGAAAACTCTTAATTTCATAAGATTTTTCACCCCATTATATTATAAAATGAATATAAAATCTTTCTTAAAACAAGTCTATTCTTTCCCCAAAATATTTAAATGTTTCTCCTTTCCTCTAAGATAAAAGTCAAATATACTAACCTCTAACTTAGGTAATATTATCATCTGCTAGTATTTTAGCTTTATCATCACCATTGCTATCCAAGCAAATTCTTCTTCTAGCTAATCTAGACTATTATGTATTCTGGGACACATAATACATTTGCTTATTGGATATCTTTGATTCTGCATTCTGATTAGAGCCCTTTATTATATCTCCATTGTGTCAGTTTTTATTTCCCAAGAATTTTTCTACCTTTGAAGACAAGGATTAAGTTATATTTTGACTTCAAATTAATTTCACACACATTTGTTAAGCACGTATGAAATAGAATCTTATACCTTCAGATTCTTACTTCTTAAACTTCTCAGAAAAATAAGAGATATGTTTTAATAATGGAGCAGACGGAACAAGTAGCATTTTACGCATAAAGGTACAAAGATCATATGAAGAAGGAGATGTGGGTGGTTTTCTGAATCTTGCCATCTAAATTGATCGTTTTCTCCATGTGGTCACCTGGCCCCTGGGAAGTAATGCTTTGTAGTGTTCTAGGAGTCTGACAGAGACTAGTAGATTGTTTCTTCAAATCTGAAATATACCTTAGCTTTATTTCCTCCTTCAATATGTGCCCACTAACTTATGCACAAATGTTTCAACACAATTGCCAAGTGAAAATTGTAGAACACATTCAATGTTCCCTTATATTAAAGAAAAAGTCAGGACTGTCACTAACTTCTTATACCACATTTCTATTGGTCTGTTAGATCTTTGATATACTTTTGTATGCTTCCAACCTTTTCCAGATTATGTGTAGCTACATTTCCTCACACTGACTTAATCAATCATAGGTACAGTTTTGTTTTAAAATGTCTAGGTGGTAGCTTGTCCAGGTAGTTACTACTTCTTCTAATCACTTGTGTATTCCTTATTACCACTCAGTGGCAGAATTTGGGGGCATTTCATGGAGTCTGTCCCTTTACCTGGTTCAGTAGGGCTCTTTTCCTAGAAAATCATTTTCTTTTCCTCCAGGGACTAGTCACCCTTCCTCCTCCACTACACAGTGGAGCAGGCTCTTAATAGTAAACACTTGTTTATGAGAAAAAAGTCATGCTGCCCCTCCCACCAAAGAAGGAGCAAAGTAAAAGTACATATACACCCTTGGAGGATTATATCTATGAACTACTTCTAATGGAGATAAATTCTTCTAAATGTATCTATCTTTTCCTGTTTCATGTGTGATGAAGCTATTGATTTTTGGTATTCTGGGCATGGAATTAAACATTATGAAAGTCTAACCTACATTTTATGCTAACTAAAAGTACAGAAAAAAAGAATATCTGTATGACTACATTTATGTGAAGATAGTATTATGCAATATTAATCTGTGATGATGAGAAACAGCAATGCTTGAATCTCCTGGGAAGTATATGAAGAAGAGACATGAAGAAAAGTTTTAGATGATCAAAATAGTCTACATAAGTGAGGGTTGGTAGTACATATCTGTAATCTCAATATTCTGAGAGGTTGTGGTGGGAGGATCACATGTTTCAGTTCAGCATGGGTAACCGCAAAATCTTGTCAGGCAATCATGTAACAGTATGAAGTCACTCAATTATGTATTAGAATGAAGACAAAAGGGAATTTCTGAAACTTTTGGTGGGAATTAAAATGATACAGCTACTAGGAAAGCACCCCCCCACAAAAAATAAATTTAGTATATGATCCAGGAAGCTAACTTTTTGGTATATATCTAAAGGAAATTAAGTTAGCAGCTCTTAGAAATATGAACATGATCGTGTTCATTACCATATTATTCACAATACCTAAGATGTGGAAGGCACTTTAGCATCCATTGATACATGAATCGTTAATGAACATGTCAGAAGAAGGAAATCTTGTCATTGTGATAGTACACATGAACCTTTGAAACATGTTACAGGAAATTATCCAATGGCAAATATAGAAAAAGAAATACTTTATAATACCATTTATACATGGAATCTTAAAAAAAATGGAATTCATAAAAGCAAGTTTAACAGTGATTACCAGAGGCAAAGAGTTGGGGAAAATGGGAGATGTTGGATAAAGATTACAAACTTCCAGTTACAAGATGACTGATTTCTGAAGTTCTGATGTATTAACAGAGTGACAATAGAAAGGAAGGCTGTATTGTTTACTTGAAATTTGATGACCATAGATCTCATTTGTCCTTCTTTCTCTATCCTCCCCCCACACAGTAGTAGCTACATGAGGTAAAGAATGAAAAGATTTACTTAGTTGTGATATATAAATATACTTTTTGTACCTTGAATCTATACAGTATTTATCAAATAAATATTTAAGGTTTATCAAACTGTCTTTAAGTATACAGGTATGTAAATTATTCTTCAATCATCCACAGGTTATTTTTAACATTATTATATCGTTTAAAAAATTTAGTACCTAATTTTGTATTTTTAGTAAATAGAAACACATTAAATGTTATGCATTTACCTGTACCCAGCAACTTTTATAAACTCACTTTATCTTTGACATTTTGTTTTCTATTTAATTAAAATATTTAATTGATAATACTTATGCATATATTTATGAGGTAAAGTATGATAATTTAATACATATGGAAATAAGTAATGATTAAATTAGAGTAGTTATTTCTATCAGTTCAATCATTTGTTATACCTATATATTGAGTAATTTGAATCTTCCAGTTATTTTATTTAAAATTATAATTTAAGCTTCTGGCTACCCTGCAGCAGCAAGACCTACTTGACTCAGCCCAGATGCAGCGTGGGTGAGACCCTGTTTCATCCCCTTGGGACGCCTCCCACCACTCTGTAATACACCTCCACCCCTCTCACCGAGTAGGAATATCTGTCGCATTTCGGGTACCCCCAGATCCAGTACTAGCCCAGGCCCAGTGAGTGTATAGGAGAGCTACCTCTCCCCCATACTCCACCTTGTCCCATCCAGACTCAGCTCAGGCCTGGCATAGAGGCCTGGGGTGAAAACATGCAGCTGCAATCCCTGCAGAGAGTGTAGGGGACAGAACCACCCAGTTAGTCAAGGAGCAGAAATTCTTCCCAGAGGGGCACAACAGATTCACCCAAAAGGAAAGCAGCAGGAAGGAGCTGAGCATAGCAGCCAGACCCAAGACAGGCACAACTGGATATATCCAAATTTTGTAGATCTGCACCTGAACTTCAGTAGGTGCTAAAGGTATATCTTCACTAAATCTCTAAACAAAGGTTAAAAGACAGTGCTACACAAAATGACAATGAGAAGGAATAAAATGCAAACTCAGACCACAAGCCACCAACAAGTGTGGAGGACACTAATACAGAACAAATTGGGAACCACACAGCTGAAATCAATGAATCAACAGCTTCTGAAATAAAGAAACAACTACAGAAAGGTAAAGAGGAACTCAGAATGGAAATGAAAAAAAAATCCCTGAATTAATAATATCTGCAGTAAAGAATCAAATGCAGCAACATATGGAGGAAACCCAATGCCCACTAGAACAAGTGCAGAGGACAATAGCTCAGATCAAATGCATGAATTAATAGCATTGATAGTAAATAAGAAACAGCAGAAAGTTATAGAGGAATTCAGAGCGGAATTCTTTTCTACTAGCTCAGCTCAAATATATAAATTAATAGCGTCGATAGTAAATAAGCAACACAGAAAGTTATAGAGGAACTCAGAGTGGAACATTCTGAAATAAGAAAAGAATTTTCAGAACTCATAGCATGTGAAGTAAAGAATCAACTACAGAAACATAGGGAGGAAACCCAATCTGAAAAAAACACTGCAATAAAAGAATTTATAACTGCTTCTAAAGAAGACATTGATAAAAAAATAGAGAAGATTAGAAAAATGATAGATTCCTTGAATGAGCAATACAAGAAAGAAATAGATCACATGAAGCAGAGTCAAAGAGATACAGAGGAATTTAAAATCTCAATCACAAGCTTGCAAAACCGCTTAAGTGAAAGTGAAGACAGAGTCTCAGATCTTGAAGACACTGGTGCATCTAGTGAAAAGATAAGAAAAGATCTCTTAAAATCAACTAGGATGCAGGGGAAAATAATCCATAACCTGGAAGATGATGCAAAGATGAACAATGTGAGACTAATAAGCATCGATGAGAGAGAAGGTGTAAGTACAAATGACATGAAAAAAATATAGGAAGAAGTAATAGCAAATAATTTCCAAATATGAGGAAATAATCTGACATTCAAGTAACCAAAGCATATAGAATGCCAAGTAACCTCAAAAAAATTGAA